CATCACCACCACCACTACCATCATCATCATCAAGTTTTCTGTCTTCATGTTGGGTTTTTTGGGATGGAAAGTAAATATTGGTTTCAGGAAAGTAATTCCCTTTTGATGTGTTTTTTTTCTGAGAAGAAGAGGAAATTAATTTTGGGGGGAGGCTTTGACAGCATGTATTGTCGTTTTGAGAGGATATAATGTGCGTTTTGGAGTTTTACTTGGGGGAGATATTGTTTACCTCTTCTGGTACTATTTGCTTCCGCCTTACTCTGTCTTATTACTTATCACTTTCTTTGTCATCTTTCTCTTTTCCCTCTCTCTCTTCTCTCCCTCTTAATTAGGTTAAATTCTAATTACAACATAAACCAATTATATAACCAACCATATTGCAATTTTTTTTTAATATAAATTTATAAATTTCATTAATTATATAACACATACCCATTAGTGTGTATATATATATATATATTATATCAATGAACATTGTCATTAATGGATCTAAGCATGTAATAGCTAATCAAAACATAATAATTATATGACTTTCACAAATTTCACTATTCATGATATTGGGTTATGATAATTCAAAAAAAAAACTAAAATTATGAAATAATAAACTAAATAAATTCTAAAAAACTACCAACTTAATTAAAATCACATTTTTTTAATGTAAAAGTTAAAATTAATTAATTAATTATTGTGGTTGCTAATGCAAGATTCAATGTGGAAAAGTGCAAAATCTTCAATTTCATACCCCAAAAAAAAAAAAAAATCATTTTCTAAAATACCCAAAAAATAATAATTATTAATTAATTTATTTATTGTCATGCTTCTCTTCTTGTGACATATTCTTGCTTATATGGTATTTATTATCTACATCCATATAACAAAAATCTAACACCTTTTTTCACACATTTAAAGAAGAATTATGTATATAGAAAATATTTTTTTGAATATATGGTGTGAGTAGATATAGATATATCGGAGTAATAATGTTACAAAAATACGTTGCGAGGGACCACTACTAAATCTATTTTCCCTTTTACTAAAATGTATATAAAACAAATGTATGTATTGATTGTGTTGAGTGGTTGTAGCATTGAAATGGATTAGCATTTGCTCTAAAAGGAATTTCATTATTCTTTGTGGTCACCTCTCTATCTATTTATCTATCTATCTATATATCTCGATGGTGTCCCTCCTTTCGTATCATTGTTATTTTTACACACTGGCAACTTTGTTTATCTAATCTTGTTATATCGATATAGTGCTTTCTTCTTGTCTTTTCAATAATTCATGCATATGGGTAATCCATATACATATATATATATGTTGTGGGTGTCTCTCTCTCTATATATATATACATACATACATACATGTATCCACTTTATCAAAGGTATACTTCTAATGGATTGTTCTTTGAAGAAAAAAAAAATGAAGGAAAATAAATTTATGTAGGTGTAGAAAACTAAGGGAATTTTGGAATTTTTGAAAATAAATATAGTCAACAAGATATTTGAGAAGAGGTACCACACACACACACACATGTATATATATATGTATGTATGTGTACATATATGTTTTTTTTCCAACTTAGAGTTGCTTAGTAAAAAATTAGAATGAGTATATGCTCATTGATGGGCTCTTATTGGTATATAAATTAATTAGTACACACACACACACACACATATATATATATATATATATTGGGTAATGATATATATTTGAGCTCTTATTGGAAAATCATGAAAGAAAGTTTAACATGTAACCCATAAATAATAATTTTTATTAATTTTGAATACATTTTTAATTTTTTAAAATCACAATAATATATGTAATATTTTGAGTAAATCGTTAATATATAATTTAATATTCAAAAGATTGTGTAAATGCAAATCATAAAATACAGGTACATTGGTAATATTTTTTTTTTTTTAAATATTGTTCTGCCCCTATATATGTATATATATATGTACATGTATAACAACAAATTGTAATTAATTATTTTTAACTACTACCACCTCAAAAACGAAACTGCGACTGTTATTGGTCCAGGGTCTCTGTACTGTATAATGATCTAATAAAAATATACGTTAATGGCGGAGTTAATAGTGAGTAAAGGACTGTTTGTTAAGAGGACAGTTTTATGATTAAGAATTATTATTAAGAGATCTGTTACTAAGAGGGAAAGAAGGGAGAAAGAGAAAGAGGGTGGTGAATAACCCAGTTACCAAACACAGATTTATAAGCTTCATTTTTGTCTTCCAACTTCGCTGTAATCTGTTTCTGGCTCTCTCCTCTCCCTCTCCCTCTCTCTCTCTTTCAATCTTTTTTTTTCTGGTTTTTTTTTTTCCTTTATCAGTTAAAAAGTGAGAGAAGAGAGAAGAGAAGGGAATATGTCTGTGAAGATTAGAGGAGGAGAGTTTTACTCCAGACATAACATTTCCAGGAAGGTGGCATTTTTCTTATGTTTTGCCAGTTTCTGTGCAGGGATGTTTATCACTAATAGGTATTCTTCAGTTTTTGGCTATTTGCTACTTTAAATTTCCAATTTTTTGATTGCTCTAGTGGTTATTTGGACTAAACTCTGCCTGTTTCTTAATGGGTAGTGGAGGATATGCATAGTTTTGAAGAAAATTCTGGTTAAATGGGGTTTTGATTTGCTAGGTTGAACTGGGTTTGCTTCTGCATTGCTTAAGTTTGATTGTTAATGAAATGTATGTTGGTTCTGAATGAATCTCATGTAACTTATTTTTTCTTCTTGTTATTATTCTGAATTGAACATTGTAGTATGAATCATTGCTTCTTCTTTATGATTTTTTATGGATTTACATTAGGATCATTTCAATTCCTTAGCATTTTGTTCTTGTTTATATTGATTGAAGTGACTCCTTAGCACTTTGTTCTTGTTTGTATTCTTTCTTCAATCACATTTTTTTTAATGATAATCTGTGACTTATAATGGTAATCCTATTAAGAAACTGTGGAGAATGTTGTATTTAATGACCTTAAAACTGTCCTAATATAGTCTTTGCATCAACCTTAAGCCATAAAATTTTTACTAAAGGAATAGGCCTTTTCTGGGGGAGGGGACTGGCCTGCTTCATCCGCTTAAAGAGGGAAGAAATGGTGACAACTTGTGCCGAACATTCGATCATAAAGGAATGTAAATTTGTTAGCCCATCTTAATCACTCCGTAATCCATTATTCACTCTCAAATCATTTAGAATGTTTTAGTGGCATCATGCTTGTTTTTCTATAGAAGTGAATCACTTCTCTTTTTTCTGCTTTGTTATGTTGCAAGTTAAAATGTTCCTATTATGAATCTAGTTATTTGACCTACCTAGTTTCAGATTAACGCTTAGTTGTGTTGTATTATGTGCAACTGTTACTATTTGTTGATGAACCATTTGTTCATTTATTGAACCCCCAAAGTTTCATTCTTTACGAGAACTGCTTTGCTCCTTTCATGGTCTACATGACTGTCAAATTGTTTGCTGCTACTTGTCTGTTGGTAAGTCTCGGTAAGATGTCGGATTCTGCTTGTTCAATTTATGAATGGCATTCTAATGAAGAAATATCACAGCAGGATGTGGACAGAGCCAGAAGATGAAGATATTCGAAGAACATTAACAGCTGACAACGTGCATGTCGACATTAAACCTAAGGATGGTAAACCAAAACCTGTAAGTTTTTTCTTTTTTTGGGTTGTAACTACTATTTATATATTGCTTTGCATGTCTGCTTGAGCTTTCAAAGTGTGATTTGGTAGATTGATATTACTCATATCTAAAGACAAACTATCTGATCACATTTAATATCGAGTTTACCAAGAATGACCAATGGTAGAAATAGCTTATTACAGCTAGAGGTTAAAGTCATCCATGCTTTTACTTTGGATGACCTAATTATAGTTCTACATGGCATAGCCCTTGAACTTGCTTCTCTGCAAATTTTTTCATTGCTATGGTGTAATGTTAATAAACATTTGCATAAGCATATTCAATCACCTTTAAGATAAACAAATTTCACCTAGTAGTTTATGGTAATTATTTTACCTTGAGAACTCAAACTTTTGTTACTTATCCTTTCAGCCTTGCATGTAATTTTGTGAGTACGATTTAGTTATCTTTCTTATGATTCTGTTTGTTAGAATCCTGCAAAGCTTGTAGCTAACAACAGCATAGGAGAAATTTCAGAGGCACAGCAAACAATTCAGTAAGTGATCCAAATGCTTGTTTTAATCTAGATTTTACTTGGAAGAGAATCACTAGATATTGTACTTTGCTGAACTTAAATGATTTCTTCATTTTTATTTACAGGACATTGGATAAAACAATTTCAGATTTGGAGAACAAGCTAGCGACTGTTAGGGCAGAACGAGAGTCTATGTTGAATGGCTTACCCTTACTAGAAGGCTCAAATGGTGCTAATGCAAAGAAAAAATACTTCATGGTTATAGGAATAAATACAGCTTTTAGTAGCCGGAAGCGAAGAGATTCTGTTCGTGAAACTTGGATGCCACAAGGTAAGTTGCTTTTGTTGTTTTGTTGGTTATGTCCATTCCATCTTGGTTATCATCTCTGATGGTATTATAAACATTTGTATTGCAAAAAAATTTCCAGGTGAGAAACTCAAAAATTTGGAAGAAGAAAAGGGGATAGTCATACGTTTCGTTATTGGTCATAGGTAAGATTAACATACCTCTCCTACTTTTTCTGTTAATCAGAGCTGACGCAGTACAAATTGGCCTTTGTCTTTAGTCTATCAGGAGGTGGTCTTCTTGACAGAGTCATTGATGCAGAGGAGAAATTGCATGGCGACTTCTTAAGGCTGGTGATGTGTCGCTCTTGATTCTTTACTCCTCTTAATTGATCTGCTGCTTTGGCATGGATAAATAGAAATATGCAGTATAACTCATCTTTATTCACGCTGCATAAGCAGGACCATGCTGAGGGTTACCTGGAATTGTCAGCCAAGACGAAAACTTATTTTTCTACAGCTGTTTCCTTGTGGGATGCAGAATTTTACGTCAAAGTTGATGATGATGTTCATGTAAATTTAGGTAAGAAGAATCTCTTTTAATTCGTCTTTCATTTATTATTTGCTGAGATTATCTACCCTCTGCAACTATGCATTAGTTCTTAATTATTGAGGATAAATAATACCCATGTCTAACTAAATATCCATGTATTGTTTTGAAGAATCTCTTCATGATTACATTCAGTATCTGATTAGTATTTTTTCAGATTCAAGACTACCAAATGGAAACTATATTTTGATGGTAAAAATCATAAAACAGATCTAGAATTAGCTCTCTAAAAGCATGTGAATGGGCTGATAGCTGTCTTTATCAGAATTTTCTAGTTAAGAGTACTTGTCTTTGCAGCAAAAAGGATGAATAGTTGTTTCATATATGTTTCACTCTTGTCTCATAGAAATCATCTTACCCGAATTTCAACAGCCACACTTGGAATGACATTGGCTGGACATCGCAACAAGGCCCGAGTTTATGTTGGTTGCATGAAGTCTGGCCCTGTCCTTTCTCGCAAGTAAGTGGAATATCTACAATTCTAACAAAATATTGGTATGTCATAACTCATAGCTGAGGTGTTGATAAGATTTGGTTTCTCCCATGATACAGGGGAGTGAAATACCATGAACCGGAGTTCTGGAAATTTGGTGAGATGGGCAACAGGTACTTCCGCCATGCTACTGGACAAATATACGCTATCTCCAAGGATTTGGCCACTTACGTATTGGTAAACCAGTAAGTTCCAGTCTCATCTTTAGCTTGGCTGAAAGAAATTCCGGAATTATTATGATTCGATGAGCTACACTGGAAATAAGTATGAATTAGATACGGGTAGCTGGTCTTGGCAGTTGCTGAACTAAAAATTAGAAACAAGAATCTGTGATTCTAGTGATTGGTCAATTCCTAAGTTAAAGAGATATTTCAAATGGATAAATTGGTTGTGCCCAAATATCTTATTGGATAATGATTGTGTTATCAATCAATTCAGGAACCTGCTGCACAAATATGCCAATGAAGATGTTTCACTAGGATCTTGGTTTATCGGTTTAAATGTGGAGCACATTGATGACAGGCAAATGTGTTGTGGTACACCACCTGGTAAATTTCTAAGTTCTCATAACTGTCAATTTACATATTTAATGTATAATTGAATAAACTCCGTTCATATTTTCAATCTTTTACCATAATTAGTTTATGTTCTTGATTGCTAAGGGAAGAATTATAAAGCCACCTAATTTTGAATTGGATATTAAATAGACATGGAGTTAAATTGTCATTTTTATTAAAATTTTATGTCATTTTATATTGTATTCTACTTCCTATTTTATAGAACGAAACTTGAACCAAACCCAATAGTATAAAATTCATAAAACTTTGTTCTCTGCAGATTGCGAGTGGAAAGCTAACACCGGCAATGTCTGCATTGCATCGTTTGACTGGAAATGTAGTGGGATTTGCCGGTCTGTCGAGAGAATTATTGATGTTCACGAAAGATGTGGTGAGAACAAGGATGCTTTATGGAGTGCAAGTTTCTAGGATGCTCTTTATGTACTTTCTAAACTCGGAAAGAGTTAACATTCGGCATATAGATCACGAAAGAACACTGAGTTTTTTGGGCGTATAGGGAATCATAATATATATACGATGATAATACAGAATTATGGTGCAAGAGAAGTTAGAAAGGAGGTCTTTTGCTTTGGAAAATTTCTTAAGAAGGTACTAGTTAAACCCTAATACAGCAAAGAGATATGAGGGAAAGGCTTTCATCAGTTCATTCTTTTGAATGGTTTGAGAGCTGTATTAAAGGTTCTTGGCCATTCCAGTTGAGACCACAATTAGTGATGTATGTTTCTTTTTTTTGGCAGCTTTGCTTCCTATTTGTTTTTTTTTTTCCAGAAATGGTAATTAGAATTTTTCTTTTGAGAGCTCAATATAATTTAATCATTGTTGATGATGCACTTTCTTATGCTCTTTATAAATTTTATTAAAAGTACTTTTCGTAGTTATTGAAATCGAATGTATAAATGAATTGACTCAATGATGCTCCAAAGATAATCAACTTCTACATATGCAATAGTCGGAATCTTAAGTGATAGACATTGGATCAACTAAACCCGGATTTAACCTAATGATATATACGAATAAATGAATTCCACATTACAAAAGAAAAAAAGAAACTTGAATTGGGTAAATCGCCGAAATTTTAAGGGACTCGAGATTATGCACACAAAAAATGATGCGTCGGAGAGATAAATTATAACTAATTTCTACATATACAGTGACTAAACTTTGAGAAATGTTAACAATTTGAACCAAACTCAGAGTTAATGAACTTATTATGAATGATTTTCACATGAAAAAAGAAGAAAATAGAATTGGGTAATGAGTGAAACATTTAGGGAGCTTAAATTATGCAAAAAAAAAACTCAGCATTAATGGCTGTGTACCCTAAAAGAAGAACCAACTGGGTCACACTGGGTTGATTGTCCCAAAGCCAACACACCTCTTCAATAAAATTAATATAGAGAGTGGTGAGTGGTCCAGCCAAATTTACTAGTCCCCTCCAACCAATCTGTGTTCTTTTAGAATTTGGACCCTCAAGAAAATTCCTTTGCTTAGACTGCTTCTCATTCTGAATTTTCCTGCTCTAACCTTTCTCCTACAAGTAGTTAGTACAGCTTTCAAACAGTAAAGAACATGAAATGCACTTGCAACTACTCCAATCTTCAAAATCATTACCCAATAATTGATTCCAAATTCATGGGTATTTATTTGTTTTAAGTTTTTAATCAATCAAGTTAATCGCGCTGTATAAAAATATCATCACCTTACAAAAAGATTTCATCCCCGCATCGAAAACTAGCGTATGCGAAGTTCTCGTAGTAAGAGAGAATTGTAATATCAAATTTCACGTGAATCTCAACTTTAAAAAGTTTAAGTGGTTCTAAAATTATTTTAGATACATCATGAATATATTACTAAGTTAAGTTTTTTGATCTTATTTAGTCAAGCATTATAGATATATTATAATTACAGTCAACTTACAATACGTACGTAAAAAATGACAACTTTGATATTTTTAGAGCAAATTTCGGACTTATAATTTTTAAAAAGATTATAAAAAGTTTTAATCATTAAACTAACATATTGGTGATTAAACTGACTAAAAATTCAAACTTATTGAAAAATATGTACTTACCCCCTCCTCAAGTTACTAATTTGACCAACAAAATCTACCAATAATCAATCCAAGAGAAATTATTTTGTATATACACGTAATGTATGTTCGTAAAAGTTTTCTATCTCGATTAATAGATACTTGATATAAATTTCATTTTATAAATTTTATTATTTAATTTAAATTTACATCGAACAATTATAAAAATTGTAACATCACATAAATTAATACACCCATATTTTATATACGTACATAGATTAAATGGAGAAATCAAGAGAGATCATACAAATCAATACACCTACATATATGTGTGTATATAAACAAATATTTAAATGTATGTACAATGTGACAAAGCTTTAATGATGAGAAGAAAGAATTAGAAAGAAAATCTGGTTAATTACCTAACCACCAAACCCCTCTCTTTTTTCAAAAGAGAAAATGATCACTAACTAATACAATTATAATTAAATTAGTGATTAATTAAAAAAATTTCTTTGATTAATTAATTAAAAATCCAATAATATTACCTAACACATAATAAGCACCAGACATGTCTCTCTCAGTAGTTCAATCAATGCACCCATGTTCATAATTCTCTTCTTTTTCTTCGAAATTAGTTCTTTAACTCCAATGAATTATCAGAATTTCAAAACTTAAATTCGAATCTTATCTTCACTCCGTCTGTGTTTGATCATGAAAATGAAGACTGTGACTGGGTTTGTTTCTGTTTATGCTGCATGAAACTTTGGCCTCCAAGCCTCTATAAATGACCACCTTTGAAACAAACGAAACTACATGCATGCGACTAATATAAACATGTATGTATGCGGGTATATCTGTGTATTTGTGTATATATCTGAACATATATATGTGTGTGTTTCGATGAAGCCCTGCAGCATATGAAGATTACCTAGAATATATATATATATATATAAGAAACTTGAAGAAATCTTATAAAATTTGAGGTATATTGGATATGTATAGGAATAAATCACACGTGATATTGGCACGGCTCAATCAAACAACACGTCTCTACACTTTAGAGTAATGCTCTCCGATTGAACCGCACCAATATCTCGTTTGTCTATGTTAACATATCTCTTAATGGTTCATATATATATATATATGTTTTGAAACTAAACAGAAAAGAAAAACTTACCATGAATCCAAATAGGTTAAAACAGTTTCTATCTATACCTAAACGAAGAAGAAGATGAAGAATACGAATAAGGGCATGTTTGGGAGGAAGAAGAAGAAGAAGAAGAAGAAAAATTAGGGCATGTATGGAGAAGAATAGAGAAGGGCATGTACATCTTAAATGAGGGAGAAAAGGAGAGAGAGAGAGAGAGAGAGAGAGAGAGTGTGGCCATGAAGGTGCTGGCATTGAATTTTCCACCAACCCCACGAGAAGAAAAGAGAGGTGGGTACATATATTATGATTCTATATTTAAATTTAAAGTTTATTGACAATGAATTTAATTTAATTTAATTTAACAGACAAAAAAAAGAAAAGAAAAAGAGAAAAAAAAAAAAAAAAAAAAAAAAGCAACTGACCATGATCAGAGAAAAACCCTCACGAGCTTTCAATTTGCATCTATGGCGGA